ACAGGGCCAGCAGGTCCACAGCCCCAGCCATTCCCCTTGGCAGGTAGAGCTCCAGAGAAGAGGAGGCGGCATGAGGCAGGCGCACATCTTGCATGCTGGCATCCTGAAAAAGAAAAAAAAAAAAAAAGAATAGTGAGGGAAATGTGACAAAGATTCATTTCTAGACAAAGGAAAAGGAGCTATATTTTATCATCTTGGACAGTTGATGCTGGTGGTGATTCTTGTGAATTTGAATCATAATTAAAGGCAGGATTTTAAGGATTTTTATGTTAAACACCAACCTGAGAGTAAAAACACAGAGAGATGGATCTGGGGAAGCCAAGAGGAGGCAAACGGTCAGCTCCTGTGATGAAGGTGAGGAGGTCTTCAAAGGAAAACTCTGCCTTGCCGTCTGATTGTGCAAACAGAGACATATTTTATCTAACCTGAAACACTAGGAGCATCTTTATTCTTTCCACCACACCCTCCAACCTTACCACGCACTAAAGTGAGGATTGTTTCCCAGTGTCCAGCTGTGGCCTCCTCATCTGCCCTCAGCTGGGCATCTGAAGTGCTAAAGCTGATGGTAAAAAGCTGCTTGAACTCTTCCAGACTCAGAGGCTGCTGCGGTGCACTCGTCATAACTGGGGCAAAAACTTCCCAGTGGGACTGAACCATGTCCCACAGCCCACCACAGCTATTCAGCCCCTCAGTAAACTGGGAGATCATTTTAGTCACCCTGAAGGACAGCAAGTGGATGAAATTAAACTTTTGTATTTAGAAAGGGCAACATTTGCATGTAGCTCAAGTTGAAACTGTCGACACCATGTGTATGATGTACGCATTTGTGTGTGCACTACCTGTCGTAGATGTAGTGTTTTACCAGGCGACTATAAATGGCTGGCATTTCATCAGAGTTGGCTGAACAGATCTCAGGGATCCCACAGCGTGAAACCCAGTCGCACAGACTGGGAGACAGCAGCTTTACATCAGTACAACTATGTAGCTGTGAGAGCAGAGGAACATTTGTGTGCGGAGCACAGAAGGCGATTATGTACACAGGACTGAGGGTTTAA